AGTCAAACCCACTATTCGTTGGTAAAGAGTAAGTAGTCCAAGAGTTCGCGGTGGGTGATTTTTACTAGCTGCTTTCCCTCTTGTCTATCACTTCAAAATTATGGACGACTAGCACAAATAGTCCTCGAGTACCTTTGCATGAAAAATTCAACAAACAAACAAACCTCGTAAAAACAAAAATACACCAATAAATCAGTTAGGGTTCATCAGAGTAAACACTGGATCGTTTACTGTAAACTTTAAAAGAGACCACTTACTTTAGCAAATCATCTCAGAGTAGACAAGAACCATCATAAATACTTCAAGGATATATGGTAATACGATTATTTTATTATTAAAAATAAAAATGAAGCCTTTTTGAAACGGTCTCGTGGAAGGTAGGATGGATAAACCCAGAAGCACATAAAGATGGACATACCCAATGACGGTCGAACTAGCTTCAAGTGTTAGCGTTTCAGGCTGTGGAGCTGAAGTTTAGTGGTTCGTGCCCCTTTACAGCAACAAAAAAATAATAAAAAAAAATCGCTCTCTTCAGTTTGGGGCATTACAAGAATGATAACCAAATTCCGTTATTCGGCCAATCGGCCTGACAATAATTGTTTGATGTGTGCTGTTGACCTGCTGCATTCCGTCTAGTCTAGAACTTCAAAATTAGAACAGTCATCGAGTTTGTAGATTTGCGCAAAATTCAGTTAACAAACATATACGTCTTTCTGTTTTATAATATTTTTTTCAAATCCGTGAAACGAGCGTTTCAATCCTTTAGAAATACTATGACATTGCTGAAGTTTATGATCTTTCTATACTGTATATGGTATAATGATTGTTCTCAATGAAACCAATATATATAAATTATGACATTTTTTTAAAGGGATTACAATTTCAGAAATAGTGATGACCCCGAGTGTTGTTTCCTTATTAAAAATCAGTCCTTCTTTGTATAATCAAAATAATTTATTTGATTCTCCATTGGACCGGGTATAGTTCAGTGGTTCGTGTGCACGACTATAAATTCGAGGATTCACGGTTCGCCTCCTGCTGCAGCAAAAAATACGCTGCCCACTTTGGAGCTGTGGATGCGTTATAAGAGTGACGGTCAAATTCTAGTAGTCGGTTAGACAAGAGAAGTCCAAGAGTTGGCGGTTGGTGTTGTTAACTGTCTCTCACTGCAAAATTAGTGAAAAATATGCACAGATAACCGTTTTATGGCCTTGCGCGAAGATTCTGAAACACAAAATCGCAAAGAATCACCACACAAAATACTAAAATTATAAATGTTTGTTTCAGCGCAAAGCCACATTAGTTTATCCGCTCCGTCCACCGCGGAGAATCGAATCCTGATTCACCTGGTGATGAAAATTATGAATATATATATATTCCTTTTTATATGCAAAAAAAATTATATCTGTAGCCAAACTTAACACATTTTAAAGCGCAAGCGATAACTTATTAGTAAGTTCGTTAAATTTAGAAATTTGGGTATTTCATTATTACTTTTAACACCTAAACACAGTTAATTATGGACAAAAATCGGCTAATCACATGCTCACGTACGAAGTTTCTTACCCTTTTCTAAATTTTGACTTGTAAGCAGATTAAACACCAATAGTTGTATAAGAAATAATAATAAGGTTACTATTAGCATCCAAAATATTTTAATAAACAATTTATTTAGGGTTAATAGCATATCAGTAGTGACGAACAGCATTGTCATTTTGGCCAAATATCTAAACTAATATAAAGAGGATTATTATTGCGTAATCACTTGCGGACGATATTAACATTTTCGTCAGTTTTGTTACTCTAAAATCTAAATAGTTGAAACATGTTAACAGTGAGTATGCATGGTGGTGTGTCATGCGGCCAAAGCAACCTGCTGCAGGACACATTGTGTGTTATTAGCAGGAGTGATAGTTTAACGATTTTCTACCTTCTATATCTCGGGCTGTGGTAATCCAAACTATCGCATATTTTCAGTTGATGTGCTCTACTGGACTCTTACTTCATATACCAAATTTCAAGACAATCCATTAAGAAATACTCGAGATGTAGCATCTACAATTTTGATTGAGCTTCTTCCTTTTTTTTTTCCTTCTTCGCACCAAAAGTACAGAAACTTTATTCGATAGAAAAACATACTTAACTTTTATGAATTTTTTCTCAAACTTGGTACACTGATAGATCTTTTCAACCTACAATTAGGAGTTATATTTGGTGTAACTATAATCCACATGTGCAAAGTTATTGAACAAAAACCGCTCAAATTTGACGAAAAAGTTTGCGCACGCCTACGCAAAAAGTCATGCGAGCTATCGATCTCACATTTTTACTACAGCTTCACCTAAGAGTAAAAGTGAATAGTTTTTTGTCATTTGGATTAAATACGGCTGATTTGGAGCAGAAAAACTACAAGGTGAACAGACGTGCAGATACATGAGTATTGGTTAGGCCAAGCAAACTAGATTATCGGTTTCTAGCTCAAATTTACAAAGGAATCATACGAGTGGACGGTTATTATTGATGATTCATTGCCAACTTTTCAGCACAAATTTACTCAATTTTATAAAATTAAAAAGCGTTTAGCGTCACGTGATATTAGCTTAAGCAATTAGCATAAATAATAATGCTTGATAAGGCTGTACCGATTGCATGGGGTGCTGACAAGAAACTGTTAATCTAAATTCCATGGTGTTAGTATAAAGGAAGCTATTGACACTGTTTTAGAGAGGAAAACTACCAACATATATTTTAAAGAATCTGTTTGGTTCTGTAAAGTAAAGGTATATTCCGAATAAAAGGGTTGCAATCCTAAACCTAATGTGGGTTACTATCGAGTGCCATTTTCTTACTGTTGTTGGGGTGTACTGACGAAAAAGTCATGATATCTAATGAAAAATACATTAGGTGTGAATAAACGGTGCGGCCAAACAAAAGGATTAAGTGTGTGACTTAAAGGAATGAAATCAAAATTGTCAGCCAAACTGGTAGCTACACTTATAGCATTGATAACAATTTCACAGCAAATATTCATTAGTTAGTTAGCTAGGCCGCGTATTTTGGTGTACCCACCATCATGCTTCAAGTTTAACAAAAAAAAAACGTGACCTG